AATTATATCCTATGGAGCCAGCAACAAAGATCTTATGGCAATAATTGGCAGTTTTTTCTTGAAAAGCTTAAATCTTACGTAAGAAAAGCGACAAAACAAAAAAATAAATAATTTACACTGGAGAAGCTGGATTCATAGCTTCGCCGCTGCACCTTTTTACTGGAATCCGATGAACTTGAAGATGCTGTACCGAAATAATTGTATTCCTGTTCCTGCAATTAGCTCTATTAACATAATACCGCAATTGGCCTGATGCCAAAACACCTAAAATTTTTCACATAATTACGCCAAAACTACAGAAAAAAACCAGCCCTGCAATCTCACTCATCGAGGTACATTAATCTTTAAATCGATAAAAACTTGGACTGGTAAAATTTGAATTTTTTTTACCTGCTCTGCCTTCCGAACACTGGTTGTTGGGGTTGCTTCATGGTGCTGTTGATGCGCGACCGGGACAACACCATTTTGGTTGCCCGTTTTTTCCTTTCTCTGCTCCAATCCTTTTCGAGCCCACACAACATTACCCTGATCCGGTCGTTGTTCCTGCTCAGATGCAAACTGCCGCCGATTTCGTTCCTGAGAATATACGCCTCTCAATAGTACGGAATTTTTACTTTTACAAATTTTAATAGAATTTTTTTAGTCTCAAAATTATTCAGTGAAAATAAATACGTGTAAATAAAACAGTCTGGAACGTTAGCGTCAAAAAGAAATACGTAAATCGGCGAAGACCACCGTTGAAAAATCTCAAGAAATATCAAAACCTCAAGAAAAAGTGGTTCATTTCAGTGATAAACTGGCACTTTACTTGCTAGAACATTCAATCCCCTTCTAATTCACCGAGAAAAAAAGAACCTCCAACAGCTCCTACAAGCCATATCAAAGTCAAAACCACGTGCACATCACTCTTTGCGGAAAGCAAAAGCAAACAAGAAGTAACTCGAATGGTAATTAATGGCAAAATCCAAACGGCAAGGCTGTCGATGGATGTATCTTTCCAGACAGTTCTGACCCCTCAGAAAATACCAATACCAATTTACTTTCGGGATGAATTTTAACAAACCGTAGAAGGATTAGCTTTTTCGATTTTTGGATTTGAACCAACGGTTTTAAAGTCGCAATGTGGGGTTAAGACGTATATGACTCAATGGACCGAAACGTCTTAGCTCACTCTTAACCCCAAACTTCACTACTCTTTCTTGCTTTTTGCTCTGCACTTCCAGGTTTAACCTGGAAGCTGCAATCTATTCAACTTAGCAGCTGTGTCACTTTTCAGTGCAGTAAGGCAGCTAATTCCCCGTGTTTCTAATATCAAAAACAATCCTCTTCCCGCTTGCACCCTCTCTCCTCCCTTATCCTGGACAGAAACTGCTCGTACTGTAAATTTTCAATTTACGCTTGATGTACCAATCGCAACAACGAGTTGAATGGAGAAGTTGCTAGCTGCATCGATGGCGACTGATAAAGAAGGTCAATGACAAATAGATGCTCAAATATTCAGGTATATAAGCATTCTGAATGATGTAGAACACGAGGAGGATGAGGGAGGGGGAAGGATGAGGAGGAGCTCAGCGGAAAGAGTGAAGGAATGTTAGCGTCAAAAAATAAAAAATACGTGGATCGGCGGAAAACACGTAGATCCTTTTGTAGATCTCAGAATTTTGCGGTAAATCAATGCTGCTTACCAGTGCTCCCGCTCTACTCCAGGCTGGTTCCTGCCTTCGACTATTCTCAATAGCTTGTGCGGCCACTACGGCACTATATCGTGAAAACGATTTCGGCGATAATGGCGGTGATGGAAGCGGTCGAGCTGATATGACATTTGTACCAGGTGCTTGTACCTTTAACAAAAAAACAATCATTACATCGAAAAAAAAAGAATCACTTTCATGGTAATCACTGTAAAAAAAAACTTTCCCGCAAAAACTGCTTTCATGGCAATCATCGCAGAAAAAATAGCGGCGCGCACCAAGACAGCCGATGCAATTATGCGTTTTGTGCAATTCCGTTCACCGAAAAATTGCCTGCTAATGATTTTCGCTGCCCCCTTTCGATGAGCTAAAAAATCGTGAAAACGTCGAAAAAAAAAATCACTACACCCTGCAAAAATACTTCTAAAAATTCAATTAATTCATGAAAAAAAAACAAAAAACCAGAACCACCATCTAATTTATGATCGGGCTGTGCAACAACGGTCATAACAGACATGGAGAAAATAGTCGTTAACCGAATCAGTTGAAGAAAAAACGATAATCGAAAATCGAAAAAATCGAATCGAAAAAATTGAAAAATTGAAAAAAGCGACAAAAAAATCGAAAAAATCGACAAAAAAAGGATAATCGAAAAAAAAAACGAAAAAAAAGTAGCAAGAAAAAAAAAGTAGCAAGAAAAAAAAACGATAAATAGGGCATCGATAAAATCAACATCAATTTAAGGACAATCAAACTTACTTCAGAACTTACTTCCTCATTTCTCAGTGATGGCTTAACAACTGCAGCACTGCCACTACCCTGTACTGCAGTGGTTTCTGGATAGGATGATGGCCGTCGGACTTCAACAACCGTTTTCTTTGCTCCACCACGATGATCGTCTCTTCCTCTGGCACCACCACCAGCAGCAGCAGTAGCAGCAGTGGCTATTCGTTGTGCATGACTACCAATTTCCGCATTTCGTATCATTCCGGTGGGGTACATCACTTTAAATGCTGTCTGCATGGGTTGTTTTGGTTCTAGCAGCGGAGAATTCTGAAAAAGCAAAACTACAAGCAGATTGGAGGAGAAAACTTTTTTCTTAAAAACCTTTTTTTTTAAAAATCTTTTAATAAATCTATAAAAACCTTTTTTTTAAAAAACGACTTCTTTAAAAAGAATAATTTTTAAAGAAAAG